AAAAAAAAAAAAGATGGTAACGCCTGTGGCTCAAAGGAGTAGGACGCAGGCCCCATATGTGGAGGTGGCAGGTTCAAACCCAGCCCCAACCAAAACTAAAAAAAAAGAAAGTTGAATTGTTTTACATAATTAAAAATTTCCAGGACCCATCTTTTCAAAATAATTCTTATTATTCCAATGTGAAATATCCATGAACAAATACATTATTACACATGAGCTACTATGTTTCCTAAAAAAGATCTTTTAAAAACAAAGAAAGAGGCTCAGAACCTAGCTCAAGTGGCTAAAGCATCAGCCACATACACCAGAGCTGGCGGCTTCAAATCCACCCCTTGCCTGCCAAAACAACAATGACAACTATAACCAAAAAATAGCCGAGCATTGTGGTGGGCACCTGTAGTCCCAGCTACTTGGGAGGCTGAGACAAGAAAATCGCTTAAGCCCAGGAGTTGGAGGTTGCTGTGAGCTGTGATGTCATAGCACTCTACCCAGGGCAACAGCTTGAGGCTCTGTCTCAAAAAAAAAAAAGTAAGAAAGTCAATTCAAAGAGATGAGGTGAAAGATCATTATCACCTCCATCGCTGCCATCAGCTTACTCTTCCTCCTAGTAAGACCAACAGGACAGGACAACCAAATAAAACCATTCTCCATTTCTCAAGCAATTCTTGGCTATGTTACTAATGACCAAAGTAGACCCTGAGAACAATCCATGTAAACAACTGAGTCCAGCTTTTCACCTCTAAAAAATGTAATAAATCCTAATTTAACATGGCTCAACATAATAAAAATATGGATAGTCTGGACACTGCATTTAACATTGTTCATTCAAGTCCTAACATTACCCCAAAGGGACCACCATAATTTCTGAATATTTAACAGGAAATGAGTTCACAAAATTCAGAAGTCACTTATAGACTGAACATATTGACTGGAATTGCTTTACATCAAAAGTAGGAATAGGCTCGGCACCTATGGCTCAAGTGGCTAAGGCGCCAGCAACATACACCTAAGGTGGCGGGTTCGAATCCAGCCCAGGCCCGCCAAACAACGATGGTTGCAACCAAAAAAATAGCCAGGTGTTGTGGCGGGCACCTGTGGTCCCAGCTACTTGGGAGGTGGAGACAGGAGACTCGCTTGAGCCCAGGAGTTGGAGGTTGCTATGAGCTGTGATGCCACGGCACTCTACCCAGGGGGACGGCTTGAGGCTCTGTCTCCAAAAAAAAAAAAAAAGTAAGAATATCCATGCTTAAAAACCTTATACACAATAAAACTCTTATTAAATCCCAACACAAATATTTCATATCAAAAAGGTAGGGTTATAGTGGGGTAGATCATCTACTAACAGAGGATGTAAAAAATTCCTTGTCATTAGCATTCAGTTTAAAATATGCAAATGTTTACAAAGCAGGATCACATGCCTGTTTTTTAAAATCATGCATAGAAGATAAACTGGAAGAAAAGGTTTTTTACATGTCACATCACAAAAAGAATAGAAGTTCCTAGAAATGAAAAAGGCCAATAACTTAAGAGAAAAATGAATTAAAGGTAATGACCATAGAATACAAAAAGACTACAAACTGCTCTGAAATATATGAAATAATTTTCAACCTCACTAATTAAATAAGAATGATATAAACTGAAATTACACAGAGATTCCATTTTAACTACCAAACTGAAAAGATAGAAATATCTGATCACATCACATGTTGATTAGCCTCTGAGAAACACACTCATACGCGGGTGATGCAAGTGTCGACTGCCCAAATTCTAAAAAAATAAGGTAGTAATGACTAGCAAATTACAAACCAAAGCTCCATTGACCAAGCAAACCATGTTTTCAGGATTTATACCCAAGAGAACCTCCACAGATGACCACTTCCCTATGTTGACCACCTCCTTAAACTGACCTAATTTTCATAGACTGGACATATACCACATACATGTATCAGTACAGCAGACCTAGTTCCTTATGGTGACCACCTCCATATGTTGACCAGTTTGTCACAGTCCTTTGGTGGTCAATGTACAGAGAGGTTCTACTGTATATATATTTGCTTGTATTATTGACTACAATGTTGCTGCTGCAAAGAAAACCTAGGTAGCAAACAGAGGTGGAAGATAGGCTTTTCAACGTTTGATTTTTGATCCATGATAATGTATAATATACACACTTAAAAAAAAAAAACTAAAAGGAAATAAACTAAGATGACGACTATTGTCTCAGGACTTTGGAAGATGAATGGGGTTTAGCACTTCAACTTTTCTGTCATTTTCCTTTCCATGTTTTATTAGCAAAACACAATTAAATACAGCAGCATACTTAATAAACTACAAATAGCAATCTTTCAAGTGTTAGCTTTAATATCCAATTTTTTGTTTCTATGAACTAGTAACTCAAATTACTTTAACAGACAATTTTCCAATACATTGCTTATAACCAAAATAAATCTCAAACATATTCAACACAGCAGTTAACACAATGTATTAGAGGCCAATCACAACCTGCAAGTCTAATTTGGTCTTCTGGCTATTTCTGTGATTCTAGCAAGGCAGGAATGGTTTCTACATTTCTAAAGGATTATAAAAGCAAAATGAGGAATGTGTAACAGAGACCCTAAATGTGGTCCACAAATCCTAAAATACTACCTGGCCTTATATAGAAAGCGCTTCTCAACCCCTATATTAGAAGATAATAATAAGGTAAAAAGTAACTTAAGTTCATTATGAAAAGATTTCAAACTACAGTTCAAGCAGAATATTAACTATTTTCGAGATTAATGTTTTAACACACCTTGCTTTATTAAAACCTCTTGATTTTAAAATTGTAAAGAACAATTAAAATTTAAGAATCAAAAAATTCTGCTATAAAATTAACTTACTTTCAGATTTGGTTTTAATATATTTTATTGCAACAAATCTTGCAAAATGATACATCAGATGAATAAACTTAGGACCACCAGGAGAAAGTAATAGTGAACCAACAACTTGAGGAAAGTTACTTCCACATTCAGCCTATGGAGAAAAGAGATAAGATGATTTGATGACCTTATCAACAACTCTCATATTTACTGTTATCTTGAAAGGACATGACAATCTTGCAGTAGATGCCATGACTGTAGATGAGGACTTCACTGAAGGGTAACAGCTCATCACGGCCTCTTTGTAGCATAGTAGCTAGGACATGTCCCATTCTGCAACGAAGTGGGAAGTTGTCCAAAGAGGTGGAGTTTTTGGCCAACCACCAACCCCAACCCACTCCTTCTTCATGTCCGACTATTTTTGAAGCATTAAAGAATTTGAATAGGTTTATTCTGTTTGAATAACAAGTTGAATTGTTTGGTTTTTCTAAACACTAGGTGGAACTGGTCACAAAAAATAATTATAGTAATAAAGCCATGATTATTGATACTATTTGGGGAAATAAGCTAAAATAATCTATGGTAAAAAAGTTTGTTTTTAATGAAACTATGACAGCTAGGCGCCTATAGCTCAACCGGCTAAGGCGCCAGTCACGTACACCTAAGGTGGTGGGTTCGAATCCCCAGCCCGGACCCGCCAAAACAACGATGGCTGCAACCAAAAAAAAATAGCTGCGCATTGTGGCGGGCGCCTGTGGTCCCAGCTACTTGGGAGGCGGAGGCAGGAGACTCGCTTGAGCCCAGGAGTTGGAGGTTGCTGTGAGCTGTGATG